CTAAATATATTGCATGGTTTGAATTTTTAAAAAGTTATAAACAAAATAGCTTGTGTTTGGTTTTTAGGAGCAACTTTCCAGCCAGCTATTTTTGTGTTAACAAAATATCCAAAGCTTACTGCTTTCCAAAAATCTTGGTGGCCAAATAGAATTCCAGCAAAACATGCACTTTTTATAATTCTATAACTAATTGCTGTTAGAAATGTTGCCTGTTGACACCAATCTAATTATGTAACTAAATTACTGTGGGTTTTTTTCTTATGTAGGCTGATGACATACGCAAACTTGTAGACAATGAACTTGGTTTTAAACATGTGGTACAGACTGATCCATCACAGACTAAAACATATTTGTTTGTATCCAATGAAAAAAAGATAGTTGGCTGCTTAATTGCTGAGCCAGTCAAACAGGTAAGTAATTTATACTGTTGAATGAAAAATCTATGTCTGAAAGAAATACCTTTGTTCTGAAATGGGTAGGCAAGCCCAGAAATGTTCATATAGTGTTGACCAAGTTCAGTAGTTTGAATCAGATCCTTTTATATTGTTTTTATTTAAAACATAACTTAAACCTTATTTAAAATATAATCTTATAACATACATGAAATAATAACAATACGATGCTAATTATTTCAATTATTCCTTGATTAGTTTCCATCTATTGCTTCTTGTCCTGCCTTCAGATGTTTCGGAAAATAATCATTTCTTTAAGTCCAAAGGAATGTTTCTTTTCAAGAGATGGCTGCAGCTTTTACAGCAATGCTGCAGCTACCTCTGGGTTGCCCCCATTTCTCTGGGAAACCAGACCTGGGTACCTGATAGAAGAGAATTTAAGAAATCTGATCCTTTGCTGTGATCAACATCTTTGAATTTTACCTTAATAGTATCAGTGAATAATGATGGGCAAATAATCTTTGCAATTTTACGCTATCCATATTCAAGAGTTCTTTGACCGAGAGGTAGGATTATCTTTCTAGGACAAATGTTCCTTATAGTAACCATCTTATTGTGGGGGAGGTAGTATCTACTGATTTTTTTCTGTTGAAGCTAGTAAGAAAGGTTGTGTATGTTTTTACATGAATGCAAGAAGACCTCTTATTTGGATCCTTGCATTATCCTCTGTTCCATATGTGATAGGAAGAGAAAGGTGGTTGCTTAGTACCAAATCTACCTCTTGGATGGAGATTTGGAGGCAGTTTATTCTGAGGTGAGTTTGCAGCCTCATTAGCAGTCACTTAAGCTTCCCTGCAAGTTCTCAAGAGTCCGTTTCCCTCTCCCTCCTTGCAAGGAACATGAAAATCTTAATCCAGATAGTGAGCCTTTTTTCAGTGGATGACTTCCTATCATTCCTTTAAAAAGTCTGCAAGGCACTGGAGCAAAAGAAGTGCTAGCAAAATCTCTGCCTGAGCTTCTTTCTTAAGAACCTTTAACAAAGAGATAGAACAATTGTGGACTCCACTTCAGTGTTGGACACCACGATTGAAACAATAATCAAGAAGCAGGGAATTATGACTCGCTCTAACATAGATAACTTTTTGTTCTTATCTAAACTTGTGACATTCATTATCACTGTGTGAAGATGTCATGAAGATAATTTGTTGGTAGTTGTGTACACTTGTAGATCAATTCGTAAAGAGTTAGGATACTTTGGTAGATGCAGCCCAACATATGCCATATAAAATTTGGGAAACAAATGTATTCTTAGTTTAAAGTCCTGTAATCCATCCTTTAATATCAGTTAGGTACTGTTTAAGGCAACCCTTCTTTTGTGCAGGCTTTCCGAGTGCTTTCAGAGCCCGCAACAGTGGGGTCCCCTACTAAAAACAGCCTAGAGCATCAGCGTGCCTGGTGTTGCTCAACAAAGCCAGAAAAGGTCTACTGCGGGATTAGCCGAATCTGGGTATTCAGCCTGATGCAGAGGAAGCACATTGCCAGCCGTTTGGTGGATGTGATGAGGTAAAGAAGCAATGCTGGGTCCATTTTGAAAATTTTGTAACACAAAATATGACGTAAGTCTTATTTTCAGATACAGGTAGTCCTTGACTTACAACCAGAATTGAGCCCCACATTTCTGTTATTGAGACATTTGTTAGGTGAATTTTGCCCCCTTTTATGATCTTTCTTGCCCCTGTTGTTAAGCGAATTACTGCAGTTAAGTTAGTGACAGGTTGTTAAGTGAATCTGGCTTCCCCGTTGACTTTGCTTGTCAGAAGGTTGCATGACCCCGGGAGACTGCAGCCATCATAAATATGAACCAGTTGCGAAGCATCCAAATTTTGATCACATGACCATGGGGAACGCCACAACAGTCGTGTGAAAAATGGTCATAAGTCACTTTTTTCAAAGCTGTTGTAACTGAAGGGTCACTAAATGAACTGTTATAAGTCTAGGACTACCTAATTATAAAGAGCATACACTCATGTTCCAATCTTAGGGGCATGGTTGCACGTGTCTTACTGTATATATAGCAGAGTGCTGAGAACAGCCTTCCTTTAATTACTTTGGACTTGCCATTTTATTCAACTGAGCACTGGATAAAGATGATTTCTTTTGACTATTTCATTTGTTAATATTGTAATAGTTGTTTTAAACTTTTATTAAATAAATATAATAAACGATTAGCTATTACTATTAAATGAACTATCAAATAAATATAATAAACAAAAGGACAATTGGGTTCTTATTCTGCTTTGATACTTTTTTCTTCCAGGCAAACTTTTTTATTTGGCTGTTACCTAAGCATCAATGAAATCGCCTTTTCAGATCCAACACCAGATGGGAAACTATTTGCAGCAAAATATTGCCAAGTACCCAACTTCCTTGTTTATAATTTCATTAGTTAAGACTAGATTTGTACAAATGCAAAGTAGAGTTAATGAGCCCATCTCTTTCAGCAAGGACTATTTTATAAAATGTGGTTATGGCATTGTTTTCTGCTTTAATGTGTTAAAGTAAATTTGAGTTAGTAGCATACCAGGTATGTATTTGGTATGTGAATTGTTTTAAAAAGTTAATTCTGAAAGTTAAATTTCAAAATTGATTGTAAAATTTAGAATGTGTAAGAAAATAACTCTTAATTGCTCTAGGTCTTTATTTGTACTACCTTCAGTGTATTCTAGCAAATATACTGATTTCTTGCAGACTGAGGAGATTTAGTAAAAGAAACTCATGCGGAGACTGAATAAGCAGGGTTGAAAAATGTGTATTAAGCTACCTGTTAATTTCCAGCACTTTTTAGCAGTGATTATACTGGCTATGGCTGTTCAGCAACATCTGGAAGACTAATTTTTATAGGAGGAAATAAAAGTGTAAGAGGTATTGTAATGCTGCTATGAACTAACATTTTAAAATTATTTTTGCACCTGTTCATGGAAGCACATTATTGAAACTAGCTTTTGAAGCTTTGAAAGTGTTGGAGGCGACTGCAGAAGTTGCATAGACTTTGTCTGACAACAACTGCAATTTTTGCACTAAACATTGTTGGATCAAGTCTGTTCAAATAAATATTTTTCTGTGTTAAGCATTCTTTGATATGTATCTGCAATAGTAAATGTTTGTTTACAAAATGTATATACTGTTCCAATCAATCATCTCTAGTTAATCATAAACAGTGGATCTGCTAGTTCCTCTTTTGAGTCTTTTATGATCAAATGTTCTCTTTATGCACATTTGATCATAAAATAACCTGTCTAACACAGAAATGAGTAAATTGTGGAATCTATACATAAAAAACTTACCAAGTTGCCTCTTTTACTGAATACTAATATTCTTCCATAGGTGGCTATCCCTTAGTTTAACTTTATGGCATAATTTAACTTATTTGATCTCATAGCCAGCCTGGTTCTATAGATACCCATGGTAGCACTCTATATGAGCATACACTTCAAACCATCATTTCAAATAATTACACACACCCCTTCTTTCAAAGCACTGGAATCATTAATCAGGGTTTTTGATCTGAGGTCATTGCAATTCTTTATTATGTCCTTTTCTAAAAAAAAACTGGGAAACGAGCTAAAATGAATTGTCTATTAACTGATGCTATCCATATGGACCAGGGGTCCTCAACCCCCGGTCCATGGACCAATACTGGGCCGCACAAAGAAGCAAAGCCCCATCTGTGGGATGCAAGCAGCACACAAAATCATGCACCCTCCGGTCTGCGGAAAAACCTCTCCACGGAACCGGTCCCTGGTGCTCAAAAGGTTGGGGACCTCTGATATAGACAATGCAATTCCCATTACACTAAAGGAACTTGAGCTCCTACACATAGCAACTGTTCTTGCAAAAATATAAACATTCTTAAAGATATAAACATTTCTGAATCTGTGTGCTATAATTACAAAAGGTAATGCCTTCCACTAATCCTAGAATATATCTCTAGCTTAATTTCTCAGTAATTCCAATAAATTGCGGTTTTACCCTTCACACAGAATTTGGATTTATACAAGAAACGATTCAACTATGTATTATAGTATCATGTGGTATGCACCTGAAAAAAAAACATTTCAGGTGTTTTGATTCATATATATAGGATGAAATGAAGCAGTTTTGTTCTAGATACAAACCAAACGCTGTTCCAGACACAAGTGATCTGGTGTGGGAGGGTAAAAGAAAAATTAAGGGCAATGATGGCAGCTAAGGGCATTGGTGGCAGGAGAAAGGGAAAGGCACTAGGAATATATTGGCAGGAGTATGATACCAGCACTAACTTACTTGCCCTGTGAAATCACTCATGATTTTTTGGAAATTTTGGGACCTAGAATAACCAAAGCATTCCAAGTTTTGTTCTGCTGTTCCAATGAATGTGAAATGCAATCCAAATAATTTTTGGACTGCAGCCCTTGAAATGCCATGAGAAACAGCTTAGAAAATAACCCTAAGAAATTTTCCTCATTAGGCACTCAACAGACCAAAAGCTTTTCTGCAAAAATGCTGCAAATGGTTGGGATCACTTAAAAACGTTTTCAGTAATCTCAGCCAATAGGTTGAGAGGCTTTGTAACATCACTCAAAAGCAGTAATTTATTGCTGAAAACTGGAAACAAATAGTTGACCTTTACAACATGTGCAGCCATTTTCTGAATGAATTGCAAATTCTCATGTTGAGTAATATGTCTGAGTCACATTCAGTTGATGTAACTTATCTAGAACATAACAGAAGTTGGAGAATTTGTTCACTTACATCCAAATCGTGCATATTAACACTGAATTAGTCATCCTCTTCTACATGTTTTCACATCAGCTTATCAATAAGAAAACAAAAGGTACTGAAATAATTTATCTGATCTAAAAAGAATAATCCAGCAACTTAAATAGTTTAAAATGGAACAGATGACCACTTAATCTTAAATACATTTGAACTAGAAACTAAGTATTGAATATTCTCACATAATCTAACTATGTTAGCACCTACAAACATTTCTAGAAGAGAACGGAGAAGGTGCCATATGATGCAGGAGTTGATTTGGGTTGGCTAATATTTGAACTCTTCCGACTCTAAAACATCCACAACTTGTGCTGCTGCAGGACGGTTTCTTGGATCTTCCATAGTACACAAGGAGAAAAGCTCAACAGCCCGTTGATATGAAGGGCCCAGCTCTTCCATATTGAGTGGTGGCCGAGTTCCAAGCGCTGCATAATAGGCATCATCATCAAAGTCAGCTTCATCAAAAGAAGCATCTGGAAATATATTAGAAATGGATCAAAAGCCATTTTCAAGAAACCATCACAAATTGCTAAGAGAAAATGATTATATTCAACACTAGAACTGCCCAGAAACAGTACTGATTGCTGATTTTCCAGTGACCAGGGTTTGATCACAGAGTGCTCCTATTTATTAGTCAAATTTATATACTTGCCTATTTCATTGAAGGAAACTTTGGGCAGTGTACCACAATAGATAAAAAACAACAAAAACAGTGAATACAAATATATGAAACTGTCAGTAATAGGTATCCTAACAACTCAAAATTCAGTCAAAGTGGAGGGAAATTAAAAAATGCCTCCCCTCAACAATGGAGCCATCTTGCCAAATTTCCAGCTTTGTGGAAGCCCCATACCTGGTCACATAACCAAGTCTTGAGGGCAAAGGTCTATGGAGATTCTCAGTCATCCAGGTTATGGTTATCCCAAAGGTGTTTTTTCAAGAGACAACTGGACTTTCTTGTTTTTTGTTGAAGGCGTTTCGCTTTTCATCCAAGAAGCTTCTTCAGCAATGACTGGATGGTGGGGAATGGAAGGATTTATATTCCTTGCAGACAGCTGGTCATTTGTACTCTTTTTGAGTCGTTGAAGCCACTTGGGGGTTTGTGTCTTCAGTGTCACCTGAATATGGGGGTGTGGGGAGCCTTCTTGGAACTGCTGAAAGGACTGTATTGTGGAGCTGTGCTTTCTGTAGGATTTTTTCTGCCCTGTGCCCTTTCACTGTTGAACACAGGGGCAGGTGTTGGGGATGGGTTTGTTGTCTGTATCTCAAACTGAAGCGCAAATGGTTCCTGCTTCAGTTTGAGGTGCAGACAACAAAGACTTCTTGGATGAGAAGTGAAAGTCTTCAAAGAAAAACAAGAAAGTCCAGTTGCCTCTTGAAAAGCATCTTTGGGACAATCATGACCTGGATGATTGAGAATCTCCACAGACTGTTTATTCAAGCTTTTCTCAAGTTTAATGACTTAAACTATTTTATGGCATTTTACATATTTATATATTTTTTGTTATTATTCTTGATTACCATGTTGACAGAAAGGTAGAATATAAATTGTACTAAATGAAACTTAAAATATTTTAGAAGATTACAGTGTAATCCCACATTTCCTTACATTTTCAAAAAATTCCATGCTTGATTAAATTTCTAACATATTTGGCATAAGTTCAATGACTAAAATCACCCCAAGATCATACAAGATTTGGTTCAGCAGCTAACTTTACCAGTAAATTCACTGATTGAGCAATTTGTGAGTTGCAGACAGCTCTGTTGTCCCATTTCTTTTCTCCCAGAAGGTCAAATTGGCCATTTTGTATGGATGTAAAAAAGGTTCTGCTAAATGTAACATTCTGCATCTCACCCACATCTCATTTTAGCCCACCTACCCCAATGATGTCATCCCTGTTAATGCAGGCCTGAGACTAAAATAAAAAATAAAATTAAGTTACCCCACCATCCCACCTGCCAAATTAAGAATATTTAGACGCACCATCATCATCCTCTCCAAGCAGATTAAGATGAGGTACGGAAAGTGTCATCATCTCCCACAAAGTCAGCCCAAGTGCAAAGATATCAGCTTTGTCAGTGATAATACCATCTTTTTCTAGGGCTTCTTTGGGTTTCCAGGGCTCAGTGCCAATGTACTCAGCTTCTGGATCACTCACTGAACAAAAACAAATTATAGTTACAAACTAAGAGCCACCTTCAGGATTTAGTGCAATTCTCTCAAGAAGCAACGATGTTAAAGCAGCTGTAAAAACCAAGGAAAAGAAAGCCAAGAACAGTTATTGTCACAGTAATCATTATGAAAAGAATCTATCCTTTCATTTCTAACATTCCTTAAAACCAACTAGGGCTGAAAAAAATCTGCTTGGTAAAATCTTGATAGCCACAATAGTGATGAGCAGGATTTATTTATCTAACTAATTTATAAAGCTGCCCATTGCACAAGCGATTGGAGGAAATGGTATTCTGTAGCATGTACAACTCTATCACAATTCTATACAGGTTTCCAGATCCATCGGAATACTTCCAGAGGAATTGTGTATAGCCACATCCTACAACTGCAATTCTTTTCCACGTGAGAAGTAAATTAGAATACTAGAATGAGAATTTCTCTTCCTGCTTCCTGTAAGATTTATATGCTCCAGTAGCTGGAAGCAGCCAAGAAGAGAAAAGGGAGCTTGGCACTGGGAACCAAGAGACATATTACAATCCCAATTTCTTGATTTATATAGAACATTTATCTTACATTCCTGTCCTGAAAGGAACTGCATTGTTTTGGGTCCATTTTTTTGCTTTTCTAGTTTAAGTTCAGAAACCTCAAAGAAACAATATTCAAAAATATTTCTATATTTCACACAGATCTCTAGTATTTTGCTCTCCCTTCAGGTATAAGTAAATATGCATGAAATGGACATAACAGCTCTGGTTTATTTCCAAATGAGGATGGCCAAACTGTTTATTTGTCCATTGTAAAATAGATCACAAAAGCAGCTCTGACTTTAACAATAGAATTCCTTTAAGGATTCAGCAGTGTGGCAGGAAGGTTGACTGATGACCACCACAGCACAGAGGTCATCATTTCCTAGTAGAGTGGACAGAAATAAGAACTGAAGCTGATTTTCAGTGAAAGAAAAAAAAACACTAAATATTCAACATACCCATCATATTTTCATCTAGAGGCAAAGAGACACCCACATCACAAATCTTTATCGATTCAAAGTCACCTTTAATGACAACATTAGAAGATTTTATGTCACCATGAAGCAATTTCTTGTCATTGTGAAGATACTAAAAATCAAAAAAAGAAGGATTTTATTTACAAAGGAATTGTAGGCTTTGCTGGTTTTGTTCAACCCTTAAAGTTTCACATAAAGTGGCATATTCCATTTGTACAGCCTACCTTCAAGCCCCTTGCCATGTGCAGCGCTACTTTGAGAATGGTGGCAGCTGGAAAAGGTTTCTTCTGCTTTTCATTTCTTTCTTCAATCAAGTCATTCAGGGACTTCTCCCCACCATATTCCATAGCAAGACACATACTTCCATCTTTGGCCTCAGTGAATGCACGAAACCCTTCAAAACACATACTTAGAATTTGTCAGTGTCCCCAGAGACAACATTTCATTTATTATTTCCAGGGTAATTCAAACTTTAAATGGGCCAGGACACTTTTTATAATTCTCCAAATATTTTCCAATCCAAGTATTCATTCCAAAATAATGCTGAAAGAGCTTTAAGAAAACTATCATGGTACCTAAGAAAGACTAACAGAACAATAGGAATTGTTGCAGGATCCAATCTGGTTCTGTCACGGACGAGAAGTTTAGTCTTCCAAGTTTTTGGACTCATTCTAGAGCCCATCCTCAGGGAACTTCTCTCTGACATGTGTGCTTTGGGCTATTCTATGCGTAGGTATCAAATAAACACTACACACAGAATAGCCCACAGCACACCTTTTGGTGAGAGAGACGTTTCCTGAGGAAGGGCTCCAGCAAGGTTGGGAAAGCTCAGAAGACTAAACCTCTGGTCCCAGTGACCAACCCAGATTGGATCCTGCAACATAATTCTGGGACACTTACATTTGCCTTCATTTGTAATAGGACTTGTCCTTTACATCAGTACAGCTTGCTTATTTCTACTTGAGGACATTTCTCTATATTTAGCCAGGTGGAACCGTGGAATCTTCAATTAAATAGGCTCACAAATATGAATAACTATCTTCCACTTTCCCCGCATAACCTTACCCACAATGTTTGGGTGCTGAAGGTTTTTTAGAATATCAGCTTCTTCATTCAGCCTCTTTTGATAAATACTTTGCTGGCTGGAGTTACATTTGGTATTTATTTTTTTTACAGCCCAGGGAGAGCAAGAGATCCCTCTAGGAGACCTAGAAAAAAAGGGATTTAGTTAAAAAAGTGGGTATATAGATAAACTAAGTAGCTAATACTACTGTATATGAAATACCATTTCCATTATTTTAGCATGGCTGACAGCAATTTAACCATTGCTGAGAATTAGTTCTCAGTCCCTATAAGAAGCACTTTGGGCATTTTTTTTACCTGCCAAGGAATCAGATATTTTAAAATAGCTTTCCTTTGATAGTTCAACTTTCAGAAAGCAAATTATTAGTTTTCTTCTGAGCCTCCAGTACTATTAGGATTTTTTTTAAAAAAAACAACATATATTTCTCCATCACTCACCAAAGCCAATGCTATATCTGGTTCAAGTTCAATAATTAACTGAAGCTTATACCTCTGTCTCATAATGAGCTATTCCAGGATAACACAGTTGGTAACAAATTACAAGCAGAAAGCAGGAATTGCAGAGCAGACATGACAATCTGATATTTCAGAAAAATCCAGATTTATTGTGCTTGTAACAACCATTTAGTAGGCTGAGTTAAATCACTGTTTTTTTCAACTTTGCTAAGTGGCCTATGCTGTTATGTTTTAGAAATCTTAGTATGTTGGAATATATCAATTAAGATAACATACCGTTTCATAAGGTAAACATTGACACCAGTTCCATATCCCAGTTTTCGCATGAAGGGAGAAGCTGGAATAGATAGTGTAGATGAAGTACTTTGTCCTATATTGTAAAAAAAAAAAAAGCTGTTTATGCCATATGAAATAAATTATTACCAAAATTGCAAAAATTGTTTCTCTAATCAGTAATCAAGACCAGACTTTATCAAGTATTTTGTGCACAATCTGATGTTGATTCTTTGAATTTTTGACATGTAGAGACATCATACTGCTTCTCTCTCTAAAAATGTTCTGAAGAATATATCCTATAACTTTGTTTTTTTAAAAGAAACCCACCTATTTCAATTCCAACCATATATCAGGCAATTTGGAGTCAGCATTCTCTCTTCACACTCACTATCATGGAAGCAGGAAGCAACATAAAGTGATGGCCATGGAAACTAAAAAGTTATTCTCTCCCAAATCTGCAAACCTTTGTATTTAAAAATAATTTACACTAAAATCTTGTATTTTACATTTGGATAAGAAGCATTTGGAGTAAGTTTACAAATTTATTCCTTCCCCAAATCCATCTTTCTCTTACCCTTTAGAATAAACATTCATTGCATCCTCCTCTGCCAACAGCAATACTGTATGTTACTGGTGGGAGCTGAGTTACCACTTTCTTGCAGACATTTTCTTCCATAGATTTCCCACCCCCACCCCACAGTACAAATCCATGTGAGCTCTTCACTTCTGCAGAGGGGAATACTGTGTGCTAAGAGCTATATTCACCTTTAAGTCACGTACTACCATATTTTTCAACAACAGAAGCCTTGCTCAGAATCTAAAAGATTTTACCTAATTTTTCCTAATACGTTTGATCGCTTCTAACTATAAATTGACCAATTTATGAAGTTAAATTAACCAATGACCCTAAAGTTGCCCCACATCTTTACTAAGTACAGCCTCACCGGATTTCCTTCTTGTTCCTTCTAGCTTACTAGGAGTCTTGAAAGCAGCCTCTGCAGCCATAGCTAATGATTTTTCTGCAGGAAAAAGTGGGAAGAATTTTCAATTGTAATTCAAAGAACTGGAAGCCCACTCAATAATAGTTCTCTATTAATAAGAAACACTATACAATATTTCAAATAATTTAATAACAAGGGCCTGCAAATTGGGGAAAGCAGCGGTTAGGCCAGATGCTCCCTCCTCTCAGACCGTTAAGAGTCAGGGTCTCCCTCTTCCCAATTGGAGGAGCATCCAATTCAGTGCGCGCAAGGAATCGCAGAAGCTGTTTTCTGCGATCCACAGGCCCCCAACCGCAGACTTTCACGACAGAGCTAGCAGGGTAAGAGACAGGATCAAAAAAAAATCTCACGGGAAAAGACGCGCCACCCTTAACGAGGAAGACGCCAATACGACTCAGTCTCCACCACCCCGGCAGTTTCCGCCACCGTTTGAATCTCTGCTGGCGCTTGCGTAAACAGAACGTTAACCAGGGGCGGGGCAAAGGAGAACGGACCAATTGGAGGTTCGGGACACGCCGCGAACGAATTGGGGGAATGGCTCGGTTCTCTCTCTTGTGGTGAGCCGGCGCATTATCGGAGAAGGGGAGTCAGCAGCTGAACGAGAAGCAGGATTTCGGCAACAGATGGACTGGACTGATGGACCAAAAGATTACTGTCCTAGATTTTCTATTATCCTAGAGCAGGGGTAGTCAACCTTGGCTCTTTTATGACTCGTGGACTTCAACTCCCAGAATTCCTGAGCCAGCTAAGCTGGCTCAGGAATTCTGGGAGTTGAAGTCCACGAGTCATAAAAGAGCCAAGGTTGACTACCCCTGTCCTAGAGTCACGGGTTGCTAACGAAGACAGATTAAGAAAGCACCAGAAATATATATTAGAAAAGATTGGCGCCAATCCTGCGCACTTAAGTACAGTACCGAAGTAACAAACCTCGTACAGTAGTTTATGATTTCGAGCTGGTTTACTCACTACAACCGAGCTAAATAGAGTCACTATTTATGGGCGGCATATAAAATAATGGCAGTACCAATTCGAAAAGGCTAAGGGAAGTAAGACGGGTTAATGTTTGGATGAGATTCCCCAGGAATGCCAAGGTTATTGACTGGAATGGGAAGTTTAAAAAAAAAAAAACGGAGGAAGAAAGCGTCAAACACTTCACAATACTGTATCAAACGACATGGCTTTATCCAGGAAATCATCAGAGGTCATGGGGGAGTCAATGTCATATAATAGCAGTATTGTATATCCATGTAATAAATGATTGTTTAGTTAACAGATTAGGTTAAAGCTAGCAATCAAAATGTTTGAAAGCATACAATCATAAATGTATTCTGACTATCTCAAGTAGTAATGAAAATAGGTTGAATCTGATATTGGTGAGGTCGGTCTTGCTTTTCAATCCCACTGCTTTCAAAGAAGTTCATGTACTAATTCTATCAAAAAGTAGAATATAAAAAATAACAGGGTTGGAAAGGACCTTGGAGGTCTTCTAGTTCAGAGGTCCCCAACCTTTTGGGCAGCAGGGACCGGTTCCGTGGAGAAAAGTTTTTCCACAGACCGGAGAGTGTGTGGTTTTGGCTGCTGCCTGCATCCCACAGATGGGGCTTTGCTTGTTTGTGCAGACCGGTTGCTGGCATGCCGCAGCCCGGTACCAGTCCACGGACCAGGGGTTGGGGACCCCTGTTCTAGTTCAACTCCCTGCTCAAGCAGGAGACCCTATTATTTCAGTCAAACGGTTGTCTACCCTCTTGAAAATCTCTAGAGTAAAACTTCTGGAGTAAGCCGTTCCACTGATCAATTGTTCTCACTGCCAGGAAATTTCTCCTAAATTCTATTAAAACCTCTTTAATAATTTTCCACACGTTACTTCTTGTCCTGTTCTCAGATGCTTTGGAGAATATGTTGATCCCCCTCTTCTCTGTGACAGCTCAAGTTATTGAAAAACTGCTATCAACTTAACTATGGAAACGTGGGTCTACATATCACCCCTAGTCCTTCTCTTTGTTAGACTAGACCAGGGGTAGGCAACCTTGGCTCTTTTATGACTTGTAGACTTCAATTCCCAGAATTCCTGAGTCAGCATGGCTGGTTCAGGAATTCTGGGTATTGAAGTCCACAAGTCAGAGCCAAGGTTGCTTACCCCTGGACTAGATATACCTAGTTTCCACAATCATTCATTGTACGGTTTAGCATCCAGATCCCTTATCATCTTTGTTGCTCTTCCCTCTTTTTAGAGTCTCAACATCTTTTTTGTACCATGGTGACCAAAACTGGACACAGTATTCCAAGTGTGGTCTTACCAGTGCAGTATAAAGCGGTGCTATCACTTCACTGATTTTGATACTGTTCTCTATTGATGCAGCCTAGGACTACATTGGCTTTTTTGGCAGCTGTAGCACATTGCTGGCTCATATTTAAGTGATTGTCCACTAGGACACCTAGATCCTTCTCAGTCACTACCATTGAGCCAAGTACTACTTATTCTATACCTGTGCATTTTATTTTTCCTGCTTAAGTGTAAGACCTGTGTTTAAGTCTGTCAAGAGCCTTCTGTATCGTGAGCCTATCTTGTAAAGTGTTGATTATTCCTGCCAGCTTGGTATTGTCTGCAAATTAGATAAGTTCATCTTTTATCCTCCCGCCCCCCATATTGTTTATGAAGCTGTTCAAGAGTACTGGACCAGTACAAGCAGCAGAATTGGATTGTTAGACTTACTTTTTCTCTAGCAACTGAAAAGATGTTCTCTAAATATTACCATCCCCAATGTTAGGCCCACCATCTATGCAGAAAGTTGGACTCAAGTCAACTGATAGGATAGTACATTTTATGAAGCCAACTTGTGCAGTTAGTTAACAGTTCATTATAAAGTCGTCTTTTCAGTAAAAAAAAAGTTTTATCAGTTAACTATAGTGTACATTTCCAATTTTAAGTCAGCCTATTAGGATCACGCACACACAGACACAAACACTATGCAGGTACTATAACTTTAATTATAGGAAATAAAGAATTCCTGTTATAAAAGAAATTGAAATAGATTTAATTACTGTACTGTACAGCAAAACATAAAAAAAATCGGTCCCATGCTCTTATTAACGTTATCATCAAATCCGCATACAGTAGCGTTTGGTAGACCAATTGGATGTTCTAGGCAGAGCAAGTAGGAAAGAGGCTATCATGAACTGAATGAAGAAACGGGGGAGGGGTAGAAAAAAGAGCAGAAATATATTCAATTGCAATGAATTCGAGGAATAAAGACAACACTCTGAAGGTCCCTTCCAGAGCTATGATTCTATGATATAAACCGCCCACTAAATAATTTTCAAATCCCAGCGGTACACTGAAAGCAAGCTGTTTTTCAAGAAGCAGCAGAGCAGGCGAGAAGGGGAATGACCTCTGAATCACAGAGGCAGAGCCAGAACCAATCCCAGGGGTTCAGCTTCATCCAAGATGGCGGCGCGCCAAAAGGGGAGAGAGGGCGGGCAAAGAGGCGTTCGATGACGTCACGGATGGGCTGATCTGGAGCAGCCACGCGGGAGGAGGAGCAGCGAAGTACGGAATCCGGCGAGGGGTTGGAGCGGGGAGGGGGGGTTTCCTCCTCTTCCCCTGTTATTCTCGAAGCCGGGCGGGACGAGCGTACAGTGTCTATATGCGGGCGGTGCTCCTGCTCCCTGTAATAGCCTCGCGTGGGAAAGGTAGGCGATACGGACTGGGCCCTTTTCTGCATAGCGGATCCGTCTGATGTCGCTGCTAACCATGGCCGGTTATGAGTACGTGAACGCCGAGCAACTCGCCGGCTTTGATAAGTACAAGGTGAGACGATGGGCTTCCGCGGGTTTTTCCGAAGGAGGGAAAGAGCTGCTGGGGTTGCGGGGAAGGAGATGCCCTGGGCTGCTGGAGGGCGACGGGAGGTATCCCTCGGGGGAGACACGCAGTGCTTGGATAGCTCAGCGGCGGCGCAGCGCCTTTACCTACGGGAAGCAACCGTGCCCTGTCAGTGCTTCTCTTTCCTCCACTCACCGGATGAATTAGCCCACAGCTCCCATTGCCGCTAACCCGAATGGAGAGATGAGTGAGGCTGATGGGAACTGTAGTCCACCTTGGACGAAGGCCCGCTATTTGGAATAAAGGAGGCCTATTTCTGGTTGAAAATTTGGGGTTATAGCACAGACGGTATTTGGAGTGTCTCCATCTGCCCACCTCATGGATCATTTCAGAGCCGTGACTCAGAGTTAGTAAAGATTCCTCTGTGATATCCATTTATTATTATTATTTTATGCTTGCCAATAAGATGCTTTTGAAGCTTTAAGCTTGTGAATAATCCTTTTGCACACAGATGTGCTTTCACTATATGGCCATGTAATGTTTTCTCTACTATCTTTTGAAAATGGAATATGTGCATGACAAAGAATTCTATAATTTTGACTCTATGATATCCATGAATTACAAGCTGAGTCTTCTTCCTAGGATATAGGGGCAAAAGAGAGTTAGGATCCAGTAGCTGTCAAGTAATCCCTGCTTGTTCCAACTTCCCAAGATAAACTATGACAGTGGGAATAGTTTAACTCTACTGGTAACTTTGCTGATTGCTTTTTAAAGCATGGCATATAGAGTTCAGTCACAAAGCTAAGTCTTTTCAGTAGGTTGTCTTTGATTACTGCCACATAGAAACATAGAAAACTGATGACAGAAAAAGATTTAGTGGTCCATTGAGTCTGCCCTTTGAGTTTTTTGTTTTTTAATTTATTCATTTATTATTTTAATTTTATATTTTATATTTAATTTTTGTTGAATGATGGATATGTGCTTATCATGTTTGAGACTTTTAGTATTGCCCTCACTTCTGCAATTTTTATGCCTTTTTTAGCCACAAAAGGTATTTGACTCTGAGCATGTGTATCCTTTCTTTATACAAACCAATCAGGCTGCACAGCAAAGTTGAGGTGTTTCAAATACTGCCAGTTAACAATTAAAATTGGGTGTAAAATATTGGATTAGCAGTGGGAACATCCAGATTCAAGCCCATGCTCAATCATGGAAAGTCATTAAATGATTTGGCCAATTGTTTTCTCAGCCCAACTATCTCACAGTATTTGTTGGGATAAAAGGAAATAGTTTTCCCCCTCCCCAAGCTCCTGGTGGATGACATATATAAATTTTATACATGAAATAGATGCAAAGAAATTCCCATGGGTGAGTGACCTGAACTGAGCCACACACATTGTAAGAGAAAATCTTCTGAACATTTATTGCTCATAATAGTGAAATGAATGAAAGTCACAAAAACACTTTTTCATCTACCTGCTTGTAGACTTTTCTGACTCCTTCATTCTTCCTTAAACATGTAGGGGTAATTGGTTTCAGCCATTTTAATGAGGACAAGGAAGTTGTATACAGCAATTATCCCCTTTGTTTCTTTGCAGAGGACTCTCTGGCTGTTCTTTTTCTTTGTGTGTATGGATAAAGAGTTGACTTCTTTTTACTTTTGCAGATTTTGAGGTTTCCTCAACATATAGAATCTTTTCTTTTCCTTCTCTGTAAAGGAACTTCTGTCTACAAAATTAACAGCCACCTTCCTCAAGTTGCATTGAAGGAAAGATTTGGGAAATTGCTGCTACTTATGTTTTATCATCATTCTGTAACTTGCTGAGTTTTCCACTTAGACAGCTAGCCCTCTTAATTACTAATTGTTTAATAACCATTAAAGTTATGACAGCATTAGAAACGTTGCTTACAATTTAACTTCAAAGTTACAACTACTGCACACAAACACCCCATGATCATGTGGTTTGGGGCACTTGACAGCTGACTTCCATTTATGACTGATTGCAGCATACAACATGACCACAATTTGTGACTTTTTCAAGTTTCTGGCAAAAAACGTCCATTCAAGACAATGGATTTGCTTAACGACATGTGATTCATTTAAGGAGTACATGATTCGTTTAATGACCATGGTGGCTCATTTTATGACCATCCTAAAAATCGAGTCAGGTCACGTGGTGACTCATTTAATGATCACAGTGACATCTGATGGAAATTATATGCTCCATTGTGATCATTAAATAAGGACTACTTGTAGTGTAATGCTCCCTAAGATTCCGGTGGAATGTCAGATCTTCCCATTTTAATCTTGGCCTTAATGCTGAAGGGGTATGCAGAACAACCCTTTTGCATTAGAATTCTTCTCTTTGGACCATTTGTACCCTTTTCTTTATCTTAAATTAGGCATCTTGCTGCATGTGAAATTCAGTGACCTTGTATATACATTGCATTAAACTTTCATTTGTTTAACCTGGGTTTATTAAATAACCTTATTGGCAGGGCCAGCACAGCATGATAATTATAAACTATAATTTAATAGTGTCTGAGTTCACATTCAGAATACGTTGCTGAAACCAGCTAAATGCATGAATTAGCACAATGCATGAATCCAGCCAGTAGCTCACATTTCCTTTCTCTAATAAAAGTTGATCCGCTAAGACCTGTCTCAGCAGGTGGCAGCATTTCTGACTATCTGAATTGGGAAGCTAAGTGGAGTCAGGTTTGATTAGTACTTGTGTGGGAGACCTTGTGGAAATACTGGGGGGGTATAAACTATATTGAGAAATTTAAAATATATCCTAGATAGTATATGGTAGAGTTGAAGGAACTTAAAAAGACTAAGAGATGCGTAGACCACCACGGGCAAAAGACGAGGAACAAAGACTATTGAACACAAGCGAGAGACACTATTAGAGTCTGTGGCAATAAGAACAGTGAAACATAACTATTTCTATGCCCTTATTGTGTCTGTGGTTCTGCGGACAATCGCCCAGTAGCCCTATTTCAGGGGATCTGGTCCCTCCTTACGGTTTAGGTTGCTATGAGGAATATCCTGCACACCTAGCAGACAATCCAGTCCAGCAGGTTGGGCATGCTGCAGGGTCTGTCAAGCAAGGAATGTCGCATGGCACTGGGACCAGAAGATTTCTTTTCTCTGCTGTAGCTCCTGCTCTTTTGAACATCCTTTCTTTGGAGATTAGAATGGCCCTTTTAAACACTTTAAAAACCTGGCTATGTGTGCCAAGCGACCTGTTTCTTGGTTTTACTCACAATTATTATGGAATTTTTCTCAGCTGCTGTGTGTGTGTATACACATGTACATACGCACATATACATATACATACATATACATACATACATATTATCCAAATAAATACAGACCACCAAGAGAGCATCTATAAAATATAGAATTTAATCTACCTACCTTTCGTCAACAAAACGTTTGACATCGTCAGGGTTAAAAGGCAAACACCGATTGAAGTCTTATATACCATTGCCGAGTGTCTGTTTCCGGCTCCTGGAGCGCGTAACTGGCCCCAGCTGATCCTGCCGTACTTCGAGCATATTGCTCGCGTCATCAATGGTATATAAGACTTCAATCGGTGTTTGCCTTTTAACCCTGACGATGTCAAACGTTTTGTTGACGAAAGCTAGGTAGATTAAATTCTATATTTTATAGATGCTCTCTTGGTGGTCTGTATTTATTTGGATATTATGATTTTTCCCAAGAGTCGAATTTTTAATGTCATTTCTACATACATACATATATATATATAACACACACATACATATACATACATATGTACTATTTTTATTGCTTTTAGATAAAACGTAAAGCACCTCTTCATAGTTTAGCAAGTTGTGGGATTCAAGTGGAAAAAGTGGGAGGTGGGGGAGAGGAGAAGATTGTTTCTGGTTTCTTTCACTGAATAAGCCAGAGGGTCTGATTTGCTGAACAAACATTGGACAATGTGCTTAGCTATGAATAAGCATTATTGTAATCTTCCACACAACTATACTATGGCTTACCATGATGCATACCTTTAGTCGAAAAGCCTTCTGAAATATGTTTGAAAATTCTTTAATTTTAAATGTTAAATATAAAGAATTTAATCATACCAACTTAAATTTGTTTTGCTATTTCATTGGATTTGTTTCCTTATTTTTATGTTTTGTGAAATAGCCAAAGAAACAAACTACAGTATATGAGCTGTGTGTTATAGTAAATAAAAATGAGAAGACTTAAAACTGGAGCAAAAATAGGTTATCAACAAAAGAGGCATTCCTTTCCAGTTTTACTGAATTTGGAAGAAAGCCTTCTAATAATTTAACTATGCATATTTTATAGTCTTGGATCTCAACAAAGATGCCATGTTTTTGTTTTAATCATAGAAATAGTAATATGAGGGTTTAGATGTACTAATGTACTGTATGTTGAAAAACTGGGATCTACATGATAAAACTGAACAGATGATTGAGCAAACTGTGAAATTGCTAATATATCCAGTGAGTCCTGAAAAGGGTACCTCTCAAATGCGAAAAAAACTATGGTCAAATTTTTGAATTGTCTACAATATGTCATAAAAATAAGTGCCACACATACTGTATATTCACTTTTCTCAAGAACCAGCAAGAAGTGCTTTATCTAAATCATTCTCCAGGAGTGTGTTTCCAGGAGTGGCAGTAACACTGCCTGTAGTATCTCATACCACATTTAAACAAACAAAAAACAGTTACAGCAATCTCTCTCTAAAAATTCCTGTTTTCCCCCCCAGGACTAATCAATTCATGATTTCTCTGCTTATTAAAGTAGATTCTTGAAATCAGCTACAGGTTTGAAAATCTTTGAATGACTTTCTGCCCACTTCCAGGAATAATTGAAAACTCCTGGAAAAATTGGATGAGTTCATTCAGGAGGAAAAACAGGATATGCCAAAACTGGATCCTTTGACACACAAAGGATCTTGTACCTGTACCTTGTACCTTCT